GAAAACTGAGTTGAGCCCGCGTTGGTCCTGTCAGCTGCCCAGAGAGAGCCATGCAGGCGGAGGCAGCAAAGAAATGCCAGGACAGGTGGTGGGGCAACCAGGCCCCACACCAGGCAGACCCCAGTGAGGCCTGGCGAAAAATCTCCACTTTCCACTCAGGCTCAGAACCTCCAACACGGACCCTGCCAGCTTAGCAGACAGCGTGCCACCAGGAGGGAGCGGGAGGTGAACCTGGGGCCAGCTGAGCCTCTGCCGATTCTCCGTGCCCTGGGTCTCCATTTCCCCTGCCTGAGCTGTTGTGGAGGAATGTGACGACACAGCAGGCCCGTGGAAGGAGCCCAGGATCTAGACACCAGCTCCAGGCTGCGCAGGGCCTGTGGTGGAGGGCACAGGGAGGACTCTTCTGATGCTCACAAGGAAAGGCCCAGGAGGAGGACCTTCTGAGTGAGGGGCAGACGCAGTTGGAAACAGCTGGGAGCTGAGCATCCCCGGGAGGTACCTGGACAGCAGACAGAAGCTCTGTGGTTCTGCTCTCTGCGGCTGAGGGCGCAGTTGCTCTGACTAATGCAGGCAGTAAGCCCTGAGTGGGTGGATGCCAGACAGTCCCACCTTCTCCGGAGAAGGACCTCAGCGTGCGGTAGTGAGGGGAGACAAGCCTCTTGGCCATTGGTGAAATGACCAGGAGCTGCCCTTTCGGGGTTCAGACCTCAGCTCCTCAAATGCAGGGCTGCCTAGAGCACTCATTTCATCCTCACAAGCTGCTGTTCAGAGCATCAGTCCTGACCTGCCTCAGTTTCCCTGACTATAAAGTAGGGTTTTCACAGTAGAGTTTGGGACCTCAAAGTTTGACAAGCAAAAGAGGAGGCCAAGTGTGGCGTCTGCTGACGGGGATGGATCTGGGCAGTCTGGGGGGAGACTTCTGAGTGAGCTGAACTCTAACTGGTGCGAGCCCCGCCACCCCACCCCATGCTCACCAGCATGTGTTATTTTGAGCAGGTGTGTGTATAAGGTAGTAAAACACAGCAGTGAACTTGGATGAACCCTTGCAGCGTATGTCTAGGAGCGATTGCTTGGGTGTGTCTGCGGTGAGGTGTCTGTGTGTTTGGACTGGCATCTGTCCTGGCATTCAGTGGATTCCCTGAATGTGCCTACTGTAAGCCAGAGCCTGGAGCATCAGTCACTTTTCTGTTAACATTCTGGAAACCAACGGAGGGAAGACAAAGGTTGGTGAGTGTGTGGAGTCCTCTAGACGCTCTCTCCGTCAGAACACACAGTGCAAATGTATCTCCTATCTGGCTTCCTAAAGCACGAGTGTGACAGCAATCTCAAGCAGAGGAAGAAGATGATTAACCCTGTGACATTCAGGATAGCCCCCGGTGATTATAGTAACAGGAGCACACAGCAGATGTGAGGTCCTCAGAGGCCGATTGGACTGGTTGGGGCACAGGTAACAGTCAACATGGGTCAGGCAGAGGAGGCATGACAGGGGCCATAGGAAGACACATGCCCACGAAGGGGACAACCTCAGAGTTCAGCCAGCTCTGGTCATCAGCCGCTTGCCACCTCTTGTTACAGGCAGCTGGCTTTGCACAGCCCTGACTCACGACCATGCTGGTTATGAGTCTCAGAGCGGCACCCAGTCCTTTCCAGCCCAGCCGTTTTCAGTGGGGAAAGAGGTTTGCAGACAGAGAATTTGAGTGCAGCTGCTGAGGTCGGAGGTAGGGACCAGTGGCTTCTTACCATGCCAGTGGACCCCTACCAAGGCTGGGCACACATCTGTGAGGGGTAGAGACAAGGGTCAAAGCGAGGCCATTTAAACGGGAAGGCTGAATGACAGAATCCCACGACAGTGCAGCGGTTGCTGTTCATGGAAATTCCTGCTTCAGGAAACAACCCATTTTGGGCTCGCTGCTTATCAGAGCAGGCACCACTGCCAGAAAAAATCACTTTCCTCATGTCAGAAATCCCTTGATTCCACTTCAAAACGACTGGAGATCCCAGTTCCATGGACTGCTAAACCCTGACCAGATTTTCTTGACGTTTGTGCTCAGCCCTGTGGTCAGTTCCCGTGTGCCTTCTGTGTCCACACTGGAGAGTCGAGTGGCACGCAGGGGAGCTCTGAGGGACCTTTAAGTCTGTGACCTCCACAGACCCCATTAGAGAGAGGGGTGGGTCTTGAGTCCCCCTCAGGTAGCAGAGACAGGTCTGGTGTCATGACTGCCTGCCTCAGGCGTGACCAGTGCTTGCAGAGGTTCAGACCACGGGGACCTGAGGAAGGAGCAGTGAGCGCCCTTCTGAGATGCTTCTGTTCTCACTGCCAAAAAGAAAGCTAGAGAAGCCCGCTGGTGTCTGTCCTGCATAACATCAAGCTGAGGGGTCCTGGCTGGGTGGATATGAGATCTGTCATTAATATCTGAAGAAAACCATCGGTGGCAGGCCTACAGATTGGTGTCACCTTTGGGCGCATACATCAAGCTCTCACAAGTCTGTTTTGTTTTGTGTTTTGAGTACATAGTGACCCTATCAGCATTAGAAGTTCTAAACACTGTTTCCATTCATCAAGGGAGGGAGAGGGGGCAGGCTTGGAGAAAGAGGCAACAAGGAGTTCAACTGAGATTGGAATGGCACAAATGAAACATGACCCCAGGTCTCACACTCCTGATGTCTGCATGGACAATGGCGGCGCAGGGCCAAGACCCATCCCCCTGTTTCCTCCCATGTGGTCTATGCATGGGCAGGGTCACAGGTGTCTGGAACACAGATCTTCAGGTTTCACCTCAGGACCTTCTGGCTCAGAATTCCCACTTAATGATGTCCCTGAGACATGCAAGTCCAGCTAACCCTTCCCTACACAGCACAGAAGAGCCAAAGGTGAACTTAAGGGGACCACCTTACCCATGCCTCGGAGCCGTCACAGGCAGCCATGGCTCACATTTCACAAGTTAGGGCTCTGTAAATCTTCATAAATTTGACCACAACTCGGCACACGCTTGCTTTCTCTACTTCTGCTACAAACTCATAGATTGTTGCTGATGCCAGGTGATTTGAGGGTGAAGGTCTAGGATGCAATCTGTTTGCTGATCTACAGGAAGCAGCTGGCACCTTGCCTGGCCCTCCAACCCATGTCCAATTTGGAACACTTCCATGGAGGTCAAGACTTTTGGACAAAGTCCAGCCCATGCACTGGCTTCAGGGGTAAAGAAGCTATAAGACTCGCCTCAAGAGGCAGAAGGGGTGGAGGGAGGAGGCCTTTAATGTGTCACCTAGGGTAGGGATCTACTGAGTTGGACTGACAGCAGCGACTGTGAAAAGGAAATCATAACTCTGTGTGACAAAAGTCACTGCAGAGAAAAGGGAAGTGCCTGTTCATTTTTACCATCGTACCCAAGCACCATCACACACACACACACACACACACACACACACACACACACACACACACACATGCCACAGTGAACCTACAGCATTCACACTTCTAAGATCAGAAAACTCACACTCAGATGTTAAATCATTCTCCTAGATGTCCATGATTCTGTCCATCCACCTACTCATCTGTCCATCCATCAACTCATCCACATACCTGCTCACCCACCTATCCATCCACCCACCCTCCTACTTGCCCAACCAACCATTATCTATCCACTAACCTTCTTATCCTTCCATCCACCCATCCACCCATCCATCCACCCATCCACCCATCCACCCATCCATCCATCCACCCATCCATCTATCCATGCATCCACCCATCCATCCATCCATGCATCCATTCATTCATCCACCCACCCAGCCACCCACCTGAAAACATGACTAGCCAAGGTGGCAAGCAAACTGATGGCTGACAAGGCTGTGCATGAGCTCATTGGAGGAGATCTAGCCTGACAGAAATAGCAAGAGGAATGCATAAATAACTCAGAAAAAAAGCAGCCCAAAAGTATATGAACTAGATGCCAAAATAACAATGACATGTAAAACACATTTTAGAATCACGCGTGTTACAAAGGTTGAAAAGGCCTCCCTATGGTGGTCAGTGGGTGAGGCAGGCATAGTGGCACACACCTATGACCTTCCAGCGTAAGGGGAGGCTGAGGCAGAATGGCCCAGACTGGCCTTGAACCCCTGACCCTCTTGCCAAAGCCTCCCCTTACACTGGAACAATGAACAAAAGACAGTATTATTTATAAAACTAAATAAATAGGGGAACAACCCAGTGAAATCTATGTGCTCATTCAAGACTAGCTATGTAAGCTGTGAAATGTAAGTTCAGAGGTCACACACTAACAAAACAACTACATTCGTGTCTCTTAATGCGGAACATCTGTTTCTATAGTGTATTATTGACCAAATGGACAACTTCAGGACACTGTGAAACCACTGGGGTCCATTTATTAGGAGAGTTATGGGTCCTGGTGCCTTAAACATCACCTTCCCATGTGTGCTTTTGTGCTTTGGAAGGAGGTGGCCACGCATCCCATAGGCTCCTGTCCTCACTGATGCTGACTTGGAAGGCGCTAGGCCCAGCCAGCTCTGTTCTGGACAGAGGGTGTGGAGTGAATGTGTTGTCATGTGAGGAGTGTGGTGGCCTTCTGCGGTCCCTGTCTGTTGTCTGGGCTTTGAGATCTGTTTTCTACTTTGGAACCTGCATCACTTCCCCCCAGAAGAAAGAAAATGTGTCAGAGAAGCACCGGGTTCTGCAGAGAAAACCCGCCATCCCACACTTTCTGCTTTTGAAGAAGTCCAAAGCGATTCCCAAGCCAGGGCAGGATCTGGAAACAGCGCCTGGCTGTGCTGTGATCACTGCTCCTGGGATACCTAACTTTTCAGGCTTTGTGTTTGGACTGCTGTGATCACCACATGACCTTCAGAGGCTCCTGAGGGCAGGAAGAATGCCCCCCCCCCCCCGGCTTTTCTCAGAAAGAGGAACTGTTTCTCCAGGATATCTGAACTCTGACCTGGGGGCTGAGCTGAAGACAGCCTGTCCCTGAGGCATAGGGCCTGTCCTCTTCCTATCTCCCTTCCCTGGACTCTAGCCACTGTGAGGCTGAGGCATCTGCCTTGCTGCATTACAGCCTTCCTCTTTAGCCTTCCTCCTCAGCCACACAAAAACAAAGACGGCTGATTTGAGGTGGGAACAGCTGCCCTGAAGCATGGATCCCTACCTAGGGCCAGTCAGAAGATGAGTGAAGCCCAGGGCTCAGAAACAAATCTCCAACCTTCTGGAACTTTGCTGGAGGCTTGGACTGGGTAAGTGGTGGCCTGTCTGAGTTGCTTTGATGTCACACAAATGACAAAAGTCAGATGTGAAACATAGCTTCTTGGAAGTCATGTTTTGAGCTCCTGGTGTCCATAAAGCCTCTGTTACCAGTAAATCCTTTCACCCTCCTCTCGGAGGGAGGACGGTCTGGCCGTGTCTGCCCCCTCCTGCAGGACAGTTTGGAACCAGGGTATCACTGGACTCACTAGACACAGAAGATGGGGACTGGCTCGGTGACTCCCAGAAGTCAACCAGAGAGAAAGAGCGAGGAATCTTGTCCTAGCCTGCAGCCACTGTCTGGCGGAATCAGCAGGGGCTTAGAGATGGGTCCCCTGAGCCCAGGTCACAAGGGAGATGAGCATCAGTGTGCTCTTATTAGCAAGCTATGCTGCCCTCATTAAGCAAAAGAGAGGGATGGTACTAAAACAAAGGCCTGCCGAGCCAGCACTGTGTGCTGCGCTGGGGAGGAGGCTTAATGGGCAAAAAGGCTTCACCGGAGCACATCTTCAAGTCAACAGGAGGCCTTGCAGACGAGCGTCTCTGCAGACTGTGAGACCTGAATAATAATTCAGCATCTCAAGGCAAACGGCGCAGAGCCTGTGCTCACCTGTGAGTCTGTCCTGGGAGTCACCTAGTCCATGGAGCAGCTTACACTGCCCGTTCCTCCTGGGAGAGGGTTCTCCATGCGGATGTGCAGAGGACAGTGTGGTCCAGGAGGCTGGCGAGCAGATTTGCAGCAGGCCTCCCTTGGCTGAACAGGCAGGTTCTCTGGAAGCTCTCATGCCACAGACTGAGCAGACAGTGTCCTGTGTATCCTTCTGTCCTCCTGGGTGTCTAAGCCTGACAGCACCTACCCTCAAGGCTGGGGGAGGCATTGGTCCTTCAGCAATGAAAGTCGGCGCTGAAAGAAACAAGCACCCTGCTCAGCAGAGCCCTTTGCTTTACAGAGAAGGGAACTGAGGCTAAGGGACAGGGCGTGGCAGGCTTAGATCTGGAGATCAGGTGGTGGCTGTGCTGGATGTGACCATGTCTGGCGCCAGCCCAATGTCCTCAGATCCCCATGGGCATGTGAGGAGCCCAGGCCTTCGCTCAAAGGGACACAGAAATTTCCATAAGATCTGAAGGGAGGCCGTCCCTAAATATAGAGCTGGAAGGAGCCTGGTAGTCAGACATAGCCATCACCAGAGACCAGCGTTTGGGTAGAATGTCTCTGTGGCTCTCTTTAGTGACTCTTCCCTCTGTCCAGTCAGTGTAGTTGGTGTCCAACAGATAGGACTGTTGGACTTGTTGGCCACATGACCTTGGGCAAGGATTCTCACCATAGCATCAGCTTGTCCTGGGAGGGTACCTTCCCCTCACTTGTGGAGAGAAAGTGACATTTCAAATTAGATGAGATCTCGGGGGCCTTTAAGGGTTACCTAGAGTCTCAGGTCTAGGTTGTCTCTCAGGAGAAGGTAGCATGCCTGGTCAACCAGTTTGCATGTGTGTGTGTGTGTGTGTGTACATGTGCACATGTGTGGAGACTTGAGATCAATGCCACAAATCTTCCTCAATTGGTCTCCATCTTAGCCTTTGACACAAGGTTTCCCACTGAACCCCAGTTGACCAGTGAACTCTGATTTCTGTCTGTCTGACTCAACTGCCAGGGTTTCAGACTTTAGTGACCATATCCAATGAGTTGGAAGTAACCATCTTTGTCTCTGGAAGAGCTAAAGTTTAATTTCTTTTAGTCTTCAATTGTCTTTAGCTGTTTTCTCTCTTGTGGCTACCATCGCATCTGTCTTCTGCCACTGTGTGCTGCACACTCCTTTTGGGAAGCTGACTGGTCACACTGCATCAGTCATCTGGAAGCAGCAAGCAAACAGGACATAGGGCTGGGAGATACGATCTGAAAGCCCACCCCCAGCATTGTCCACCCTTCAGTGAAATCCAGCTCCTAATGTAATGTAATGGAGAGCTGCCAGCTGAAGGCCAAGTGTGCAAACACTGGAGCCTGTGGGGGTAAGGACCAAGTGTGCAAACACTGGAGTCTGTAGGGGTAAGGACCAAGTGTGCAAACACTGGAGCCTGTGGGGGTAAGGACCAAGTGTGCAAACACCGGAGCCTGTGGGGTAAGGACCAAGTGTGCAAACACTGGAGTCTATGGAGGTAAGGACCAAGTGTGCAAACACCGGAGCCTATGGGGTAAGGACCAAGTGTGCAAACACTGGAGTCTGTAGGGGTAAGGACCAAGTGTGCAAACACTGGGGCCCGTGGGGGTAAGGACCAAGTGTGCAAACACTGGAGCCTATGGGGTAAGGACCAAGTGTGCAAACACCGGAGCCTGTGGGGTAAGGACCAAGTGTGCAAACACTGGAGTCTATGGGAGGTAAGGACCAAGTGTGCAAACACCGGAGCCTGTGGGGTAAGGACCAAGTGTGCAAACACTGGAGTCTATGGGGGTAAGGACCAAGTGTGCAAACACTGGAGTCTATGGAGGTAAGGACCAAGTGTGCAAACACTGGAGTCTATGGGGGTAAGGACCAAGTGTGCAAACACTGGGGCCCATGGGGATAAGGACCAAGTGTGCAAACACTGGAGTCTATGGGAGGTAAGGACCAAGTGTGCAAACACTGGAGCCTGTGGGGTAAGGACCAAGTGTGCAAACACTGGAGCCTGTGGGGTAAGGACCAAGTATGCAAACCCTGGAGTCTATGGAGGTAAGGACCAAGTGTGCAAACACTGGAGTCTATGGGGGTAGGAACCAAGTGTGCAAACACTGGGGTCCGTGGGGGTAAGGACCAAGTGTGCAAACACTGGAGTCTATGGAGGTAAGGACCAAGTGTGCAAACACTGGAGCCTGTGGGGTAAGGACCAAGTGTGCAAACACTGGAGTCTATGGGAGGTAAGGACCAAGTGTGCAAACACTGGAGCCTGTGGGGTAAGGACCAAGTGTGCAAACACTGGAGCCTGTGGGGTAAGGACCAAGTGTGCAAACACCGGAGCCTGTGGGGTAAGGACCAAGTGTGCAAACACTGGAATCTATGGAGGTAAGGACCAAGTGTGCAAACACTGGAGCCTGTGGGGTAAGGACCAAGTGTGCAAACACTGGAATCTATGGAGGTAAGGACCAAGTGTGCAAACACTGGAATCTATGGAGGTAAGGACCAAGTGTGCAAACACTGGGGCCCATGGGGGTAAGGACCAAGTGTGCAAACACTGGGGCCTGTGGGATATAGGGACCAAGTGTGCAAACACTGGGACCTATGGGGGTAAGGACCAAGTGTGCAAACACTGGGGCCCATGGGGGTAAGGACCAAGTGTGCAAACACTGGAGTCTATGGGGGTAGGAACCAAGTGTACAAACACTGGGGTCTGTGGGGTAAGGACCAAGTGTGCAAACACTGGGGTCTGTGGGGTAAGGACCAAGTGTGCAAACACTGGAGCCTATGGGGGGTAAGGACCAAGTGTGCAAACACTGAGCCTATTTCGGGGGGCATCTTACATTAAAGCTGTGACACTGTCTTGTAGGAAGCCTGGCTTAATGGTACTGTGGCAAGGGTGTGGCTGGGGAGTGCTGACACGCAGAAGACTTCAGAGTCAGGCAATCTTGATAGTTGTACCTCGGAGATGATCTCGTGCCTGCTTCCTGAACTTTGTTGAGGATCTCTGACAACATCTAGCTGCTGCAGAGATGTCAGGTAGGTTACCCCAGTGCCACGGACCACAGAGGTAGTAGATAGAACGAAGGTGTTATGAGGTAAAATTGCTACAGTAGTAAGGCTGAATTGAAACTACACATTTAACCCAAATTCAGGAAGACCCCAGAGCCTTTGGAAGGAACAGCACAAGCCATTCTAAGGAGACAAGGCACAGTGCCTCCCAATGCCAGTCTGTGCAAGGAGCACAAGCCAGAGAGCAGAGAGTGCTCCTAGGGAGCAGGTGTTCTTGCAGGGGCCTGGGGAGGGGTGGGAGCAGGCAGAGCACCAGCTGTGAAGGCAGCATCGAGGAGCACGCTGGGTCAGCAGTGAGTGTGCTTCCACTTACAAGGTGAGCGAGCATAGACAGGCTGTGAGACAGTGGGCGGTGTACAGGTGGCCGTGGGGACCATGGGGTGAGTGTCGGTGATCAGCTTGTTTGTAGACTGCAGGCACGGGATTCAGTCTTAAACCTTATCCTCCCTACTGGCTTCTGCAGACAGCTTTGAGAGTTGCGTTCCTGGAGTCTAGGAGGGAAGGAGGAGGGCTGGGGCAATAGGAGAAAAGGAATTGAATCTCTCTTATTCACAGGTCTTTAAAGCAAGGGCCAAATGCTCTTGCATCCCCAAGGACCTCTCTGAAGATGGGGTCTCCAGGTAGGGTGAGCCTCCTGGCTTAAAGCTGAGACCTGCTCCTCCTCCATCCCACCCAGTTTCCTCCAACTCTTGCTACCACTCAGCCAATTCCATTTTCATCTCCGTCTGTCACTTCGTTCTCTCACCCTCCATCTCTTTTCAGAGTTCCCTGAGTTTTATTGAGAACACAGAGCAGATGCTTTCTAAAATCGCCTTCCTCCTGTCGTGAGCAGTAGGCACGCCATCCACATGCTCGCATGGACATGTACCGACAGACTGTAGAGTAGGCATGCCATCCACAAGTTTGCATGGAAATGCACCGACAGACAGTAGGCATGCCATCCACATGCTTACGTGGAAATGTACTGATAGACAGACATGCAGTGTGAGCGCCCCTCTGCATGGCCTGTGTGCTGGCACTCGGTGTCCTTAGGCAGGGCTGGTGGATCTGCTGCTCCTCCACTGACTGCAGTGAACCTCACTTGCAGTGTCTGGTCCTCTGTGGTTTATCTGCAGAAGATAAGGGGCCTCTAGCCCCAAGGATGGGACAACCCATCCTTCAGCCATCCCACCAGGATGAAAGAGATCAGTCACCAAGGCTACCATTTTTCTCTTGTCAGGGTAGTGACCAAGGCTTGAGAGGCCCCACACCCACATATGATCCTGAACATGAATAGAGTCTATGCTTCTTACGCAGTGTGCTTCTGCCCAGGGCCTCCAACCCCTCTATAATAATGTTAGAAGTATAAGGAAATGAAGTGCTGTCCCTAGTACACTAGTGTGTACTCACACAGGGACAGCCTCTCCTCTGTCCCGGCCTTCCATCCCCCTGACCTTGGCTCACCTCACGGGTTAGGCCGACGAGGATGCCTAGCTTCATGAGGAACTAGCCCTGAAGGTGCCCAGCGCTTGCCTGGGTGGGCAGCGGGTAGAAAAGAGCAAAGGCAGCCGCGTGTGCAGCCATGCACGCAGTCATGCATGCTGTGCTGTCCAGCAGATGGGAGAGGCTGGGACTTGGGCTGTCATCTAGGAGCCACTTCCCAGTGAAAAACCAAGTTCTTCTCAAAGCTGGTGCCCCATGCCTCTTCCTCTGCCAGGATAAAGCCCCAAGTCTGACCAAACATTCAGAGATTATGGCCTCTTCTTTGGTTTCAGAGGTGCTGGACACCAGGCCACAGCTAAGGGTCTTTCTGTAGGAATTGAGAGCGGCGATGCTCTCAGACAACACCAGACAGCTCCTTGCTTACCATGGAGGCTTGGGACAGAGGTGGATGTACTCAACTGTCCACTTAGGAACTTGGAGAATAATAAGGGAGGGGTGAGGCCGAGCCACAGCTGATGCAAAGATAGGAGGCTAAGAAGCTCTTTCTTGTTCTTGGCATACTTAAAAGCACTTTAGGATATGTAATTCCAGGCATGCAAAACGTGATCACGGACCCTCATGCATCCTGTTCCCAGATTTAAGTCTGACACATGGCCAGTCTTTCCCCTTTCCTTATTTTGACCTCCCTCACGATTCTTCCTTCCTCTGTATTCCTCAGAAACACCCGAGTCATCATGTGACATCTCCTGCAAATGCTTCCATGTGCGTTTCTAAAAATAAAGACCTGTATTTTTAGACATGATGATGGGTTTCGAGACAGTCTCAAATCTTCACATCACCAGCCTCAGGTTGGTTCTGTTCCTCGGTGTCTCCCAAGTGCTGACTTACTCCTTCCATTGTGCTTGAACGACTGAGGACACTGAGTTTGACAGGTGACACTTGTTATGTCTCTTTCAATCTGTTTTCCCCCTTTGTCACCAGTTTGAGAGAAAAAAATCTCAGTGTTCCTTTTGTATTTTCATCATTGTGTTTTGAGTTAAGAGAGAAAGAAAAGAAGTCACAGTCGGTGTCACTCCTGATTGCTGCTGAGTGTGCTTGCTTCAGTGGTGTGTGCGTGCGTGTGTGTGCGTGCGTGCACGTGTGTGTGTGTGTGTGTGTGTGTGTGTGTGTGCGCGTGCATGTGTGCGTGTGTATGCCACAGTGAGCATGTGGAAGTCAGAGGGCAACTTGCAGGAGCATGCTCTCTCCTGCTGTCATTTTGGTCCTGAGGATGGAAGGCAGGCTGTCAGTCTTGGTGGCGAGCACCTTTATACCCACTGATGCATCTCACCAGCCCTTGGATACCATATTCTTGACTGTCACTGGCATTATAGCTTTCATAGGTAGGAAAGGATTACCCATGTAAGTCGCCTTTCAAGGGTCACAGAGCGCATGCCTGTCCCCCTCATACTCTGAGAGCACAGTGAGCAGCCTACCTGCCTTGCAGAGAGTCGCTCTTGAAGAGTAGTCAGGTGATGCTTACGTTAGTTTTTATTGCTGGAAAGAAAGGAAGGGAACACAGCTAGCGCGTGTCCCTCAGCTGCACCAAAGCCAGCAATACAAAGTCAAAAGCAGGAGTCTGCTTCTAGAAAATGTACCGCAGCAATGAATGTCCCTGATAGCCATCGCTGATGACCTTGATAAACACACTTAAGATTGCTGAAGGACACCAGAGAACTAACAAAGCAAAACTAAGACATCAAGATCCTGGCGTGAGGGCCTGGAGAGACGGCTCGGCGGTTAAGAGCACTGGCTGCTCTTCTGGAGTTGCTGTGCTCAGTGGGCAGCCCCTACACGGTGGCGCAGAACCCTTTCCCCCGTGACTCCAGTTCCAGGGCACCCAAAGCCTCTGAGCTCTGTGGGTACCAGGCACATAGATCGGTTATATACATAGAATAAAAACAAAGTTTTGTGGGATATGGCTTTTTAAAAGCACAATAGGGACTGGTGAGATGGCACAGAGACTAGGGTGCTTGCATCCTAGCCTGATGACCTGCATTCCCCGGGACCCGCATGATGGAAGGAATCAGCTACCCAAAATTGTCTCTGACCTTCGCGAGTGTACTGTAGCATGCATACAGCCACTCACCAACGCCTCTGTCCCTATACACACATGCACACACAGAGTATATAAACTAAAAAATTAAGTTCAATATATGCACAATTAGAGCCCTAGGGAATAGTTAGTGCCGCGATACTAAATAGAACAAATAAAGCAGTGTTTGAATGTTTGCTGGCCCAGAGCACCCCAAACACCAAATACTGAAGAAGAGATGCTGGTGAGAGTATGGGGAAGCTGGGACCATCTCCATTGTGCCAGCCCGCTTCTACTGCCATGATGAATACCCCGACCCAAAGAAACCCGGGGAAGAAAGGGCTTATTTCGTTTCGCACCGTACAGGCCATCATGAAGTGGGGGCAAGAGCTGAAGCAGAGACCGACCGCGGAGCAATGCTTGCTGCCTGGCTTACTCCCCATGGCTTGTTCAGCCTGCTTTCTTATACAACCCAGGATCGCAGCGGCCCCAGTGATCTGGGCCCTCCCACACCAGTGATTATTTCAGATGATGTCCCACAGATTTGCCTAAGGCCAAGGTGATGGGAACATCCTCTTGCTTGAGGTTCCCCTTTCCCAGATGACCCTAGTTTGTGTAGTTGTGTAGTTTGACAAAACAAGGCAAAAAACCTAGTTAGTACACACATTAAACCAAGAACCAAGGAAAGTTACAGACCCCAAGAAGATTGTTAAAGAAATCTAAAGCCAGACTTACTACAGTAAAGCTCCTGAAAAACAAATGAAAAAAAAAACCTTAAAGAAAATGTGCTCCTCTCACCCAGTGGGGTGAGCAGTGTGAAAAACAAATCTGAAGAAGAGATGCTGGCGAGAGTATGGGGAAGCTGGGACCATCTCCACTGCGGGTGGGAGATACAATGGTATAGCTCTAGGGAAACCAATATGTCGGCTCTTCAAGAAGTTAGAAATGTGTTTAGCATGTAACCCTGAAATCCTGTCTTTAGGTGTATCCCCCACAACCATGAGAAATCATCCCAAGGAGATGTACACATACCGGTGTTCACAGCGCTGCTGTGTACAACAGCTCAGATGTGGAGTCATCACAAATGCCCAGCAGATGTGCACACAACCAAAACGCCATCCATCCACACAGTGAGCTGTCCCACAGCCTGAGAAGGGACAGAAGACATTCTGAGATGCGCTGAAATGTCGATGGGCCCCAAGATCACCGTCACAGAAGGACAGACACCGAGTCTACTCGTGAGGGTCCTGAAGGAATCAAACTGCAGACAAGAGTCAGAATGCTGGGTCTAGGGACACAGGCAGGGGCAGGAGGGTGTTGAATCGGGACATAGACGGCTGAATTGTGTACTGAAGACATCTGAGATGGTACATTTTATATTGTGAACATCCAAAGCTGAGAGGGTGTTGGGGGGAAATTCGGATGAGACGGGAAGAGGGGGACATAATTTTCAAAGAAATAAATTTGACAGCTGCTTTCTCGGCAGAGAAGAAGTAGAAATCAAAGGACTGTAAATGAATGCGATCATTCAAGTGCTAAGAAAAATAATTACCGACTTAGAATTCTATGCCTGTGACAACCATCTAAAAACCAAGGTAAGCCGAAGGAATTTTCAAATAAAGTCTGAGAAAATTTGCAGCCAAAACACGTGAACTAACAGTAGTGCACAAGAGAAGTCTCCCACAGTAGGGAAATGATCCAGGATGGAGCTTTGAATGGGAAAGGGACAAATGCCCAGGTCAGCCTGGGAGAACACAGCATGCTTAGAGTAACCAAATGGAAAGAGAAAGCGGCCATGGCATAGGGGTGAGTGGGGCTCCAATCAGACCTTTCCTTGCTTGCCAAGTGCGTTGTTTATTTTTTACTTACTTGTGTGTGTGTGTGTGTGTGTGTTTGTGTATTGCATGCATTTGTGCTGGTATACGTATGCAGGTGTGTACACCCGTGCACTCACGTGCAAAGGTCAGAGAACGATTTTGAGTGTCCTCCTCTATTGCTGTCTTCCTTTTCCCTGAGGACAGGGCCCCACTAAAGCTAGAATTTTCCCTTTTTGGCCTAGGCTGGCTGGCCATCAAGCCCCTGTGATCCTGTCTCTGCCCAACCTCCCAGCCCCAGTGCATGGGCTACAGGCACATAGAGCCATGCCCAGCTTTTTATGTGAACTCTCAGAATCTGAAGCCAGGCTCTCTCTCATGCCTGCAAGCATTCTTGCCCAGCACCGTCTTCTCACCCCGTTACTCTTTTTAGTATATAAAATCATACTTACGTAAAACAAATACTAAGGTGTTCTACTGTATATAATAACTGGCTAATAGATAGGCATGCATGCTATTTTACAAGTTTTCTTTCATAATTTTATAATTCAAGGATGCATTTCTCCCATCTGGAAGTTTGTGAAACCCTCCCTAAGGAAACTAAAGGAATATGGGGTCAAGGAGTCTGTAGGAGGGAAAATAGAAGGTAAAGAAACCTGACACTAAGGAAAAAAGGGAAGACAAAATGAGCAAGAAAGATAAAGAAAACGAGAGACAGATCCAAGCGCTAGACGGGGAGATGCAGCTGTTGGCTTTCACGGGGCTGATCCAGAACTTCTGCCCTCTATGAGGAAAACGAGCAAAAGTCTGGGTGTGGAGCTCAGAGTGATGTGGAGCGCCGGCCTCGCCTGCAGAAAGCCATGGGTTAGATCTCTACCACCACAGGGAGGGACAGAACATGAGACTTGAACAAGCCATTGGCAGAAGGGTCCGGCCGGTCTAATAAGTCGCAGGAAAGTGCAAACAGAAGCCCTCCTGTGGCGACAGAGAAGCAGAGAGAAGGAAGTCCACTCTCCACACTCCCTGGAGTGGGCAGAGCCCGTAGCCACAGGTGCCCCAGCTGCCAGTGTGGAAACAAGTAGGGCTACTTCAGGACCAGCTAGGCCCCTCCTCAGTGACTGCCTCCCAGTGTCACGTCCTGAGGTTCATACCCAGCAGAGGGAAACCCATGGGCACCAGAGAGGTCCCCACGGCAGGATGGATTCATCCAGGGTCCAAGTGACAGCAGCAGGATATGCCGCTGATGCACTCACAGAGGCTGTGGGTGGAGAGCACGCGGTGGCTTTCTGCTCAGAAAGAGCTCACGAGGGCTGTCAAAGGCAAGGATGGTGCTTCTAAACGACCCAAGGCCTTGGGTACGTGAAAACACTCTTTACAGGAGCGGGCCACCCCAATGTGCACACCATACTCTGACATTTTGGCAATACTCTGTGTATAAGTTAAAGTTCAACCAAGGAGTTTATTTAAAAACATTAAAAGAGGTCAAGAGTTGTTTTCGGACTGTGGTTGTTTAACTGCAGATATTCCAGGAAATTCCCCATTAAAAATATGGTCTGGTGGAGGATGAGGTAACCACATTAGGACACGGCTCCAGATAGCCCTGTGGTGGCTATTGAGGGTCAGAGTGTGCATGCCACAGGGACCCTTCACAGGCCGCAGAGTTGGGGCTGCCCACCCTACTCTGGACAACTCTGACCAGGAGCGTAACCCCATGGCAGAAGGGAGAACTCATCTTGGTCATGAGGAATGGCCCATCTAAGCAGTCCTGTGTGAGCTCAGCATTGCTAGTGGCCCTGGGTATACGGGTGGGTTTATTTCATTGTTGGTGTGTCTGGACTTGCTAGCCAGGCTGATTTGAGGAGATGACTACCGAACAGTCCAGACGAACCGGAAGCTGGTCCAACTTGGCATTAGACAAGATGGGGGACAGACAGACATCTAATATCTAGGCCCCATCAGGAAGAAGGAGACACTGCCTAACCTAGGCAGTGTCACTCCAACTCACCTTCTAAAACAAGCCACATCTTCTAGAAAGGCTTCAGGGGGAAGAAAGCTCTTGTGGTCCCTGAAGAAGGCAAGTGGGGGCGCCCCAACATGCTGTGGCTGGATTTGACCTCCCTGGCTGCAGACACCCTAAGCATGGTGGTTCTTTCCCTTTGCCTCAGTTGTTCTGCAGCTCCGAGCCTATTCCTGTTCTTGTGGGGAAGTAAGCTGACCCAGGAGTCGCCTGGGCATGGAGAAGTGTTGGGCCTGAATCAACAGCTTGTCCTAGGGACTATGGGTGAATTCCTCCACATGATACCTGAGTTGCTTTTTGAGGGGAGAGGCCTGGGGTGCTGAGATATTCGGGGACTCTGAACACTAAAGCTACAGCAGCTTAGTAATGCCACCAGGTCCTGGTCCCCTGTCCACACCTCCTGTGAGTGTGACCCTCTGCATCTGTATCTGATCCCAATCAGCAGAGTGACAAACATGTTTGTGACAACCAGGCATCTCATGAACAAGTGTGGTTTTCATAGTTTTGGAATGGGTGAAATTTATCTTTTAAATTAACTAATTAAATAAGGTTTGAGACAGGGTCTTACTATATAGTGTGGACCTCACTATGTTGACTAGGCTGGCCTTGAACTCATAGAGATCTACCTGCTTTTGCCTCCTGAGATAAAAATCATGCACCACTATCATGTCTGGCTTTTTTGTTTGTTTGTTTTTATACAGAGTCTCACAATATAGCTCAATATCTATCTTGTTAATATTTACCACTTTTAACTCTTCCTAAAATGGCACTCAGTACATTCTAAAGTGTGTACTCCTTCCACTGGCTGTTTTCTGCTGGTAAGGATACGTGTTGAGGTGTCTCTCAACCTCATGTCTACAAAGCAGAGGACAATCTTTACTCTGCTGTTCATGTATCAATGTGTAAACCTCTCAGACCAAGTGTCTCCATGGTAACCATCTTTATGCCTTCATTGAGAGTACATTTCTTCTGCAAAAATAAGATAAAATGTGTCAAATGAACCATATCTATTTATGGTTCTTCTGAATGTTTTACCATATTTAGTTTCTGTAAAATTGTAAGACTTCTCAATTTAATTCCTTTCTGGTACAGAGTATAAATTTATCCCATTAAAAATAGGTGCTCTCTTGAGAGATTTCCCCCACAAACTAAGATATACCAAAGGAAAGCCATGAAATCTCAAATTTAAATATTATACACAAGAGAGGTTTCATCTGTGTAACATGATCTGCTCTCCCTTTGAATTTGTGCCATTTACATTTAATATAATTACTGTAAAATCTTGCTATTTGTTTTGTTTGCCCTATCTGTTTTGTTCCTCTCACTTTTTATTTATCAAGTGCTCTCTCTCTCTCTCTCTCTTTCTCTCTCTCTCTCTCTCACTCTGTGTGTGTGTGTGTGTGTGTGTGTGTGTGTGTGTGTGTGTGTGTGTGTTGGAGGGAGGATATAGCCCAGGATTTTTCTTGAACTTGGTCACTTTTCCGTTCCTGAGTGCTAGGATTATAGGCTTACAACACTATGCCCAACTTCACATACTTTATAGAGCTATTCCAAACATAAATTTATGTTTTTCTCCTGGAGGCTGTCTAGAGATTGTCCCATGCAACCACTTGATGTAGTGCATCAACTTTCTAGCAGCAGTGGTACCACACCCAGAGCAGTGCATGCCGTGAAGGTCCTCTGAAGATCCACGAGGTCACACGCGGTGGAAGGAGAGGTAGGGTAGGAGGCAGCCTTGACCGCTGCACTTGCAGGACTTCTGAAGTGTCACTCACAGGCCACAGTCTCTGCCACAGGACATTGCAGCCAAGAAGGGCACAGAAGGACGGCACAGCTAACTTGCTCCTGCTTCAAAGGAGTCCCTTGGAAAGTGACCCTAATTCAAGATTCCCTGTGGCCTGAAGGAGACCAGGCAAGATGGGTCTCAGAGCCGTTCAGTCTAGGCTCCCCTCCCCTCTCCCTTTGTGGGTGATAATCCAGCATCATGGTTGAAAGGTGCTGTTAGCTCTGCTTTCCTCCTGGCCCTCCACAGGTATGCCTCCAGCAAAACGTCTGCAGACCTGATTTGGTGTTGGGTTCTTGGGATCAGTGTGACAAAAGCACTTTACAGAAATATAATTCCTTTTGCCAAAGTCTGCTATTTTATTGTTAATAGGAGACACGAATGGTCATTACTGCTGCTGGCACGTGAGTGTCCTTTACATTTGTAGCTGCCTGTGCCCTCACTGGTTCCTATTGCATTCTGACCCTCGGGGGGCGGGGGCGTCTCCTTCTTCAGTCTGAGGAGCGAGGTCCTTTTACTGTTTCTGACAATGAACTCTTCTTGCTTTTGCTTTTCTGAACACACAGAAAAACCTTTAAGTTACAATTTATTTGTGTGTGTGACCATGCATGAGACACCAAATGTGCATCACAGCATTCACATGCAGGCTGGAGGACAATTTCCAGAGCTCAGTTCTCTCTTCCTGTCTTGCGGGTCCTGGGGGTCAAACTCTAGCTGTCAGCCTTGGCAGCAAGCACCTTGAGTCGCTGAGCCATCTCCCTGGCCATGATTGCCTATCTATTATTTCATGTAGACTTATAGGTTTGCAGAACCCTCTCCCAGCCCTTTCTTCAGAGCATCCTGTCATAGCCCTGTGGCCCTGGGACACCAATATTACCCAGCTCTTCTGCTTTTCCTGTGCTACAGTTCCTGGTTATTTTTAAATCCATTGGTTCAGATATTGACTTTTTTTTAGTTCTAGGAGGTCTATATGACTTTTAGAGGTTTTTCCTTTAGAGTCTATTTTGTGCATTTTCCCTGCTTAACATATTAGCGACAGTTACTTAAAAATGTAACTTGCTAGCTATGATACTTAAATTAGCAGTAAATCCTATTTTCTTTTCTGTGGAACAATTCTCAACTTTATATGGAAAAACAAAGACCCAGGATAGCCAAAACAATCCTGTACAATAAAGGAACATCCAGAGG